ATGTATGTGTGTGTGTGTGTGTGTGTGTGTGTGTGTGTGTATGTGCATAAACGTATATACATATGTAGGTACATAAATATACAGATTGGGTTGTTTCGTAAGCTTGTAACATGTATCGCTTGCACGGCCCGAGCAAATTATCGGTTTACCAGAAGCAGTTTTCTCATTGTTCTCGAAAGGCCAATAACATTTCAGTGCACCTCTCTTAATACCGAATGAATGTTGGGCAATCTTTACTTTTGTTTACTTAAAAATAGTTTCGATATTGAAGTGTGAAGAGTTTAATTGTCCTAAAATTGTCTTCTTCTCTTCAATTTTCCAATTCTCTCAAAAGCCGATCATGCTTTTCGCAACATGGCACAGTCTTTTAAGCAATATCACTCTGCTGGAAGTGAGCTTTTCACATGTAAAATGCTTTTCCATTCTTTCATTTTAACATTTGACGTCATTTCCTATTTGACTTGATAACTCTCTGAAGGAGAGCAATTGAATGTTCATATATAACAGAGCAAGACTTATCGAATCGCTTATCATTGTGACGAATTTCATTAAAATGAAAGCGAATAGAAGATGAGAAAACGTTATAAACTGATGAAACAACCTAATATAAGAAAAATGAAAATAAATTTTTTACAACAATTGAAAACGAAATTGAGGAAATTGATTACAACAATTGAAGGCTGAAATTGAGGTTATTAAATATTTAAATAACTTTTATCGGGCGTTCACTTCATTTTTCTGGTTTTGTTTTTTATTTTTTATTTTTATTATTTTTTTTTTTTTATTAATACAAGCACTCTCACTAAGAGCTTGTTTAACTGTAATTTTATTCATATTGAAAACTAACGAATAACTCGGACGTATGAGTGATGAATAATTTCTTTGAGTAAAACGAGAATGCGTGTTAAAGGCACTACTACTTTTATTAATACGACAAAGTCGATGAAAAACAAAAAAAAAACGCAGGCATTTTAAATTGAAAGACAGCAACAATTCCTTGTAATTCGAATAAAAGCAATGACGTTTTATGCAATAACTTATCTCGATATCATAAATACTTAGAAATATATTTCATTTTAAACTTCAACGCACAAGTACATATACTTTTATTGCATCAAACGAAAAGCAAGCAGAAAATCGACCCCATCATAATAAAACATATAAATAAAGAAATAAATAAATTAAAAAAAAGAAAATAATAAATAATATAAAGGGACACTTATGCCAAGCCATATATGTACAACGAGCTGAATTCAGGGAAGTGACAGAGCTTTTAATGCTTGTCATAGAATATCATTAGATCGAATTTCTGTATTCATATTTTTTTCTTTGTTTTGGATATTTTTAGAACAATTTATTGTTATTAGATTGGCTCAGGAAAGAAAAATTGTAGAAATATACAAACTAAAAAAAAAGATTAATTAGAATAACCCATTTACGAATCAATTATTTATAAAAAAAAAAAAAAAAAAAAAAAAAAAAAACATTCTTTAAGTAAATCTTCTCCTTTAATTTTCGCAACCTCACAATCACTTGGTAGGTAAGCGTATAATAGGTTTTGCTTCTAGAATCGCCTAAGACTTGACCTTTCACATCATAATAATAAATGTATTTGTACGTAATCGCAAATACAGAGACAGGCAGCCATAGAGAGAGAGAGAGAGAGAGAGAGAGAGAGAGAGAGAGTAAATGAGAGAAAGTTAGGACCATCAAATCAAATCAAATAAAAAAGAACTATAAAAACTCAAACAGAGAGTACATAAATATAAGATAAACCAAATATGAAAAACGAAAACACAATGTTTATATGCGCTATTTATTTTGTTAAACTTAGATTGTACGGTCAAGCGGTCAAACAGAGGACACACATCATTGTTTTCTTCATTGAGAAACACAGCCTCGCATACATACAAATATATATATATATCTGTGTATATCTCAAAAAAAAATCTTATCCTCATATGCTTCCTCTATTTTGTTACTACAATTTCCTGTTATATGCTTTACTTTTATTTTATCGTTTTGGATTCTTTTTTATTTTTTCCTTTTGGTTTCCCTTAACCAAGGAAATGACTCCAGACTAAATTGGATTCTCGTTTTTATTTTATTTTACTTTATTTTATTCCATTATTTTTTTTTTTTTCCTTTTTGCTAAGAAATTTTGATGAATATTTTGACGCAAACATTTCAACCTCTAGGGGAAAAGTAAACTGATAGCGACCCATATAAATGTATATGTAAAGTATATATATGCATTTGTATGCGCGTATAAGTATGTTTATACCACTACAGAATGCTTTGTCTTTTTGCATAAATCTCAGAATGATTTACTTCTTCTGAATCGCATATATTAAAGTCGATTTGAGAAAGGTGGCCCGGGTCTTCGCTTACCATAAGCTTGGCTCAAAGAAGAATTTGAAAAAACTTCCGGATAAAATTTCACGTTTTGTCATATGAATGTACTAATATATGACCTGAAAATGAAATGAAGTTTCTTTGCATTGTGTATAATGCATGAGTAACAGGGATCCGAAGAAGTCTACTGTGGACAGTTATGAAACAACCGTAGTGCTATTTTATTCTTTAAACACTAAGTTTATTCCTGTAGTGTTCTCATATATATCACGCAAAGGCTGATGTTACAAGTCTAGTAAGCCTCTTGCAAATTAGGTAATATAGTGGTAGCTATAATATTGTAACATGACGTAACTTGCTCTTTTGCCCTTGCTCTATTTATGCGACTTGTGAATTGTGAATTGTGATTTTTCGAATATTGTAGGCGTTATCTACAATTCATAGGAGAGCTATTTACGAATTATTTGCAAAAATTTAATATATATTCATAAAAATAAGATAAATAAATAAAATAAAATAAAACTCAACGCTTTTCTACAAAATGTTATGTAAGACTAAATATTTACAATGATTGTTTTATGATATATCTTATAGACATATATCATATCACTCGGGTCTAACTAAGAAAAACAAGTTATTTCTTTTAGAAATTTCACGTTACCCAGCACTCTTTAAGAGTGATATTTTCATTCCAACGTTCGTCTAACTTTTCGATGTCTGTTTTGTGCAACGAACTGTCTTTGCCCTCAAAATGGACTCCCGTTTCGGCAATCGCTTCCTCATTTGAGTCAAATTTCTTTCCCTTGCGTGTCACGTTGACGTCAGTTAACAGCCAACAGACGGTCGGGCAGATCTGCGCAGTAGGGTGGAATGGGCGAAGTAATTCGAGAAACGTAATGCATTGAATTTAACCATCGTTATCATTAACTTCTAACATGGGGTATGGTTTTGTTGTATGTGAAGACGTCTCTTTTGATTCGCTATTGATTTCTTGTCGCTTCTCAAGATAATCGACGAATAAAATACTATGTGCGTTCGAAAATCCAGATGTTATAACTTTGCGAGCTCACTTCTAAACTTAAACATACATAAACATGTACGTATATATACATTTACGAGGTATGTTCAAAGAAACAGTGACTATTCAAACACGCACATTCGATTTTCGAATTTCTTTGTGTTGGTTGAACAAGGAGTCGTCTTAAAAATTGTTTCGATCGTGACCAGTCTCAATAGAACATTATCCAAAAGGACAATGCACATAACTCCATGAAAATATCTTTATCTACGAATTGAACGCATAAAGGCATGGAGACGCATCAGATAGATTAGCAGACAGAAGCTCAAGCATCACAATCCTTTTCTTAACTGATCGATATAATTGGCACTATCTCAGATCGTTCTCTGCTATTGCATAGTAGTTTTTTTCTTACCACCCGATTTATTACACCAGTTCGGTTAACACATTTACTCGCACAATGATGCCTTATTATGAAAAGTCGTTATATGAGAAGTAGTCGAAAAAGTGATCCTATTCGAGTCATTTTCAATAGTGTCCGAAATTTAATTAACATTCCTCGAAAATTGCGACCTATAAGTTAAACGAAAGGATACAAGACGGACGGACGGCCAGGCAAGCTCTGCAAGTGATTCTGATCTGAATAATAGGTTGGTCTATATCAAGTCGTTCTGCATGCGTTGTCCTTTGTTGCATACATCCGCCCAATCTTAATATACGCTGCTGTACGGTATAGATATGGTTCACGCATGTTTTACTATTTCGGTAAAAAATAAAAAGTAACTTTTCAAAAACTTTAGCCCTCTACTAATCGATTTTCTAACACTTATAACTATAGAGAATACATGCAAGACGGTTAATAAAAAAAAAATTTCATGCAACAATAATCATTTACGTGTTCTCTCAGTTAGCCCTTGACGATTATCAATAACTATCAAAGATTTAATGTATTTGCTGCGATAAAATTAGCAAAAAATATATCAGCGATAAATAACAAAAGATTATCCCGGTGCTTGCAAATTGCGATCATTTTACGGCTGACACATGAGCAGCAAGCCATTGCTGTGTACGCTCAAAACTAGGCAATATTTTTAAAAAATGCAATCTATTACGAATGTCGTAATCGCACAACAAATGATAGGAGAACGTCAACGACAACAAACCGATGCAAATGAAAGGAATCTTAATGCAGAAACGGTGACAGTATTCCAATTGCCCAATGTGTTGTAAGACAACGTATATTGCGAAATCCTCAAAGGAAAGATCAAGAACACTGCTAGCTTATCTGCTGTATTCACTTCCTGAACAGCGCTGGCCTTCTTTTAACAATCATACAACACTTGTGTTTATATCCATTATCTATTATATCTACCAAAGCGGTAGTTGCCTTATGTTTTTCGGGAAAAAATTAATTAGAAAGATGTAAGCGAGAAACTTGACACCCAGCAGCGGACAATCGCTTATGTAACCAAATTAAAATAACCTGAGTAGATTCTCTCAATGAAGAGGCCTACTCTCGAATTATGTTATTATTACTCATCTAACTTTACTACTTACATTTCATTCAAATATTTATGTGGATTTTGTATTTTATTCAAAAAAATTAATCAAAAAATTTCTTTTACAGGTTTGATGTTTTGGTCAATGGGGGTGGTGCTGTTACTCTACAATTTCAAAGATCTCCTTTCCGTCCTTTGACGCGCACGGTTTTTGTGCCCTGGAACCGCATAGTAGTGTTGCCGCCCGTACAAATGCAGCTAAGTGATGATGACGACAGTGCCAATAGGAACATAAAGTACAAAATTCACTTTTAAAATGCATTTCATAGAAATGTTTTGTTTATTTTCTTTCCTTTTCTAAAAACTTGTTGACAGAGTGGCGCCATTGAATCCAGCTTTGACTTTTCTTAATTCAATTGTTTATTATTTCGCCGATGAGCCCAGTGCCGAAGCGCATAAAATATGTCTGGAGCATGATCATGAAGAACTGAAGCCTCAGTTGATTAGTACCTGGATGCCAAATGGTGTGGGTGCCATGCCTGGTAAACGTGTCATATTTGCAGAAACTCAGGTGAGAATAATGTTCACTATTATTATTATTATCTTTTTTTAATTTACTTTCCCCGATATTCTGCGTATGAAAGTCATTTTATTATGAGAAGAAAGCGTCACAACGAACATAATGATGGTCACGTTACCTTAAAAGGAGTCATGTCATGTAACTTACGTTATACCTTGGGGTATATTTACTAAATCTACTTAGTTTTTTAAGGTTAAATGGCAAAGTTGTTGCTTTATGCAACATCATGTAAGCCACTTGAATGCTGACATTTACCATATGCCAGCTAATGCTGCTCATGTTGTTGGGTGAAAAAAATTTCATACATGCCACGTAATATATTCTCTAAACAGATCTACTGCCTTTTTCCGCTTTTCCTACTCTCTGCCCTCTTATTATTATTATTATTATTATTATTATTATTATTATTATTATTATTATTATTATTATACCCATCACCGAAACATGAAGGGTATATTCATTTTGTCGAAACGTTTGCACCGCCCAGGAAGGAAGCATCAGAGATGCGACAAAGTATATACATTCTTGATCAGCAACAGATCCTAAATCGATAGACACGTCTCCGTCTGTCCGTTATAAACAATTTCCTGGTCGCAAGAAAAGAACCTGTCGACACGAGGACATGGCCACAGCACCACGCAAACTGAGAACACCTCTGTTTTGCAAAAGGAATGAAAAGTTCGTTCTTCGTTCATTACACATAAACTATAGGAAATAAATGCATAAAAATTTGAACGCATCTTCTATAAGCGATGCTGTAGCATTCGTGCACAAAAATGGAAAAAAATTGACCACGCCCACCCAATACTATAGTGTATCCAAATTAACTTGTGCTTTCAATACCTTCATAACGTGGAGAAACTAGTTTTAAAAGCACCATAAAATATACAAACATGTCCGGTAAACACGTCCGCCGATTGGTATTTCCTTCTGTTAGCTCGCGCAACTTTGTAGTATTTGTGGTGAACACTCTCCTGTCAGCAAAAATGAAGATATTTGCAAAACAATTTAGATTTGCCTTACGCTTTTCAAAGGACACGCCTATAGCCCCCATATACCTATGCAGCAAAAACTTTTATTTATTTATATAGCGAATGAAAAGTTTGTTCTTTTAATTCTTTTGCCTTATTTAGGATAACGACGATGGGCATAGACGATTCGGCCGCAACCGAGTTTAGCTTTCTTACTTGTTATTATCATTATTATCAAGAAATTTTTCGACGGGCAGGAATAACGTAGCTCGTGGCTTTTGTGTAGCCACCTTTTATGGCTGCGTTTAGCTTTAGCAAGTGTTTGCCTCTTTTTTTTTTATTATTATTATTATTATTATTATTATTATTTATGTTAAGTAGGTGCAGTTGAGATTGTTGTTGTAATTCAAGGAGATAGTTTACCTTAAGGTAACGCTTATTTCTTCCTTCATTTTTTGCCTCAACGTGCTTTCAGTGTTGCGTTAACGGTATTTCATTCTCGTTGAAATAATTTTTCATCAACCCACAACAGATGTGATGTGTACTTTGCCAGTACTTTTTAATTAATTTGAAATTTATCTTCTAAGGTCGTTAGATTATCATACCATACCAGGGTGGGTCGCGAGTTTAAACTAGCTTTAAGGAAAATTTCAAAAGTTGTTCTCATCAAATTTAAAAAAATGAAATTTTATCTTATAGTACAATAATAATTTTTCGTGGTCTCTTCCTTAGATTGTTCAAGAATCAATCCAAATACCGGGTTCCGACTTACATCTCACATATCAATCTTCGCAAGCATCGGGCTATTTAAGCATTGTACGGATGCGTTTGACCGCTGAACATATACCGACAACGTTGACGCACGTGCATGTCGGAGTGGAAATTGAAGGGTCATTGCATGTGAAAACCTATGAAGCCGATCCTAATCTAATACATACGTTTGCCTGGAACAAACGCAATGTTTATCGTCAAAAAGTCTATGGCGTTACCATAGCTCGAATATCGGTGGGCTATCAGCATTCTACTTGCGTGAGTCCTGTATGGATTACACAAACTGCGAAATTGCAAGGTTATGATGTGGACATCTCAGACATTGGTGGTTGGGGTCTGGATATACATCATCATTATAATTTCCATGAGGGAATTTTACAAAAAGGTGACGGCAGTACGCTACACATGAAAGAGTATCCACGGACCGTTAAAGTGGTAATGGGTACTGGTCTGCAACGTCCCCTGAATTGTCCTGATCATTGCAATGGTATAGCTAAAGATGCCAAATTACTGACACCCATAGCCTTGGCATCTGGACCAGATGGTAGTCTATACGTGGGCGATTTTAATTTGGTAAGACGCATAACGCCTGACGGTAAAGTTTATACCATATTGCAACTAAGTGCTACACAAGTTTCCTATCAATATTACTTGGCTGTATCACCCGCCGATGGTCATTTGTATATATCCGATCCGGAAAGGCATCAAATTTTGCGTTTATTACGATTAGAAAAAGTAAAAGATCCCAGCATCAATTCAGAACCTGTGGTAGGTTCTGGACAACGATGTATACCAGGCGATGAAAGCAACTGCGGTGACGGTGGCCCTGCATTACAAGCACGTCTTTCCCATCCAAAAGGCTTGGCCATAGCTGCAGATCGCACTATGTATATTGCCGACGGCACAAACATACGAGCAGTGGATCCCAAAGGTATTATACATACACTGATAGGTCATCATGGTCATCACAATCATTGGAGTCCTGCCCCTTGTACCGGTACACTAATGGCCAATCAAGCTCAATTACAATGGCCAACTGGCTTAGCTTTAAGCCCGTTAGATGGTTCTTTACATTTCATAGACGATCGTCTGGTATTGCGCTTAACCTCAGATATGAAGATACGCGTTGTCGCTGGCACCCCATTGCATTGCTCAAATAATGGCCAGGATAAGGACAATAAGACTACCGATAACGTCTTAGGTACTGTCTTGGCTATGGCTTTCTCACCATTCGGCGACTTGTATATAGCAGATAGTGACTCGAGACGCGTTAATTCGATACGAGTAGTGGATACAGCTGGCAATATGCGTTACTTTGCCGGGAAACAAGAAGGCAATAGGTAAGTGCATAATAATGTCTGCACACACTTGACACTTGTATATATTAACATGTATTCCTTGTTTTTCCATTACATTTAAAGGCATTTTTAATATTTATTTTCAACATTTATTCGAATTTTTCATCTTTTTAAACAATTTATTTCTTAGAGTAATAACAGCTGACTGACAGACAACAACGCGACAACATAACAAGAACTATACAAGTAGTAATACAAAAAAAAAAAAATTAAGTGAGACTTTTCATGTCAACGTCCTTTAAGTTAACAACTCTTTTTCTCTGAGCTGGCTTGTTTTTTACCCTCTCACTTATGAGCCCGACAATTTTACATCTTTTATCAGTTAGTTTTGTTTGTGCAGTAGCATCAGCAGCAGCCACATCAGGCTCATAGTTGTTGTTACTACTTTTGTAAGTCTCTGACAACGTCATCATCATCGTCAACATCACTATCATCATCTTTTTTACGCTCTTTCTCTCAATTATTTGTTTTTTTTTTTTTTTTTTTTTTGCTGTCGTCGGAGAGGGTGAGATAGGACGGCGGGGGAATTGGGCTAGAACTTGACTGGCAGACAAGACAAGCAAAGTATCATCGGTAACATATAAAATGCCATAATATCTTAGTACTATGCATAACGGCAACAAGAATAAAAACAACAACAGCAACAACAATAACAACTATACTTACTCCGCAAAAAAAGACAACAGCATCGGTATTATCAGCGGGCAACATTGTCATCCTATTTTTGCCGACATTTGTATGGCGTTTTGTCTCACGTTTGTTTGTGTGGGTGTTTTTGCGCATTCCACTAACTTTCTTACACACACATCCACATATATATATATATATGAATAAATGCATGTTTTCAAGCAGATACTGAGGCATTTACACATTCTTATACTTTTTCTTCATTTAAATTTGCTACAACATAGAAAGAAAAAAAAAAAAAAGAAGGAAATTACAAAAAGCATAAGAAGACCAGTTAAAAAATCTACAGTGGACAGCCTTAGGAAGACGAATCATGGACTCGCATCCTTTTTGGTTTCTAAAAATCTCGACTCCTTACAAGTACATGATTAACACAAACTAATCGTTTAATAACTAAAAGACAACCATATGAAGATGATTGCAAACGGATTGCGGTGAAGGAATCGATCAAAGTTAAGAACGTATAGTTTTCAAGTCAACTCTTAATAACCGAAAGAGTGAAAAAGTTTGCCACAACTTTTGGGTAAATGCATTCATTTACGTGACGCAGACAATTTTCATTAGATTTCAAATATCGATATGAAATTTTACTTTAGTCAATGTATTTAAGACGATCACGAAGAAATGAAGCGAATTGTTTCGAAGACTAAGAGAAGAACACGCACAACAGATCTTAGTTTATTGTAAGCGAAATTTCGGCCAAATAAATTTTTCAAGCCCTTTGAGGGCTTAACAAAGTTAGTGTACACTCCCCTTTTATTAGTCGCGGTAAATATTGTAACGCGCACGCTATCAACTTAAAACAAAAGAAAAAGAAAAAGGAAAAAAAAAAACAACATTCACGAAACGATGATGACGATGTTTTTTAATCTGTCGCGCATTGTTTGCCAAGTTGTTAATTTTTTACTATTTATTCTGGTCGTTATTGTGTTGCTCGTACCATTGCATTGTACTAGTGGCAATAGTAGGTTTGTGTTATCGTTGCTTGTTCGTATGGTGTTAGTGTTCACTTTCGTTATAAGAGTATTAGTAAATGTTTTTTTGCTTTATCCCCTTATGCTTGGTTGCTACATATATATATATATATATATATATATATATATATATATATCGTATATTCGTATATATAATTCGTGCAACTTTGAACAACAAAAACAAGAATCATTGTAAAAACTACAAGTTTTTCTACTTGAATAAAAACATTTTTTAAATATTTCGCTAAAAATTCTTTACTTTTGCGGTCGAAAACGTAATTTTTTTACAACGCATCTCTTTGTTCTTCTAGTTATGTACATCGACAAAAATGGGGCAAATAAAAAAGACATGAATGCGTTTTATCTCAGCTTTGCAAAGCTTTAACAAAAACGGTTTATTTACCTCTACAGCTGCTATTTTGCAAAGGTTAAGCAAATGGTCTTCACTCTCTTGTTCTTCTCCTTTTTTTTTTTTTTTTGGTAGATGAAATTAAACGATAAAATATAAATAAAATTTCCTCGTTTGTTATCAGCAACTACTCTTATAATATTTCCGTTTTCGTCAAATGTTTCTTTTTTTTTTTTTCAATTTATTTAATTTTTTTTTTCAAACAAAACAACAATTTCGTTAACGGATATATCCTCGTATTCATTGAAAATTCAATTTATTTTAATCTAAGTTTGTTAGTGTGTATATCTATCGGGTCCATTTGTGTTTTTGTCTTTTTTGTCTTTTTTGTTTTTTTTTTTTTTAAATTTATTTATTTGTTTATTTATTTTTTGTTTTTCTGTTTGCAGTGCCTTCACATGCGATTGCGCTGGCCTCAATGCCAGTGCATCCGGCTTTAATTCGAACTTAGCTGGTTCGCATAATAGTGCCTATTCAACGACTACGCAACCAGTTCGCAATAATATCGGCGGCGGCGGCGGCGGCGGCGGTGGTGGCACTACACCGACAACACCATCTGGCGGAAACGGAAATAGTGGCGGTTTCAATGGCATTGGCGCGTCTGGTCTTTCGGCAGCCATGCTTATGGGTGGTGCAGGTGGTGCTTGTATTTGTACGCCTGCCGCTGGATTAGCTGGCATCGTAACGGCCAATCTAATGTCAACTGGACCAACAACAACGACAACAGTTTTGTTGGGTGCTAAAACAACAACAGCAGCCGGCAATTTAGCGGGCACAGCTGCTCTAAATGATGATGGTACACTAAGCAATGCCGAAACATTATTGTCCTCCAATGCGCGTTTTCAAGCAATTTCAGCAATTGCGGTCGCCCAGGATGGCGTTATAAATGTAGCTGATCAAGGTAAGTGTTTGCTAATACACGCATTTTCAAAAAAAGGACAAAAGAAAAATGTCCAGCAGAGCGCTTGCAAATGAATGCTGAACATGGTAATGCTTTAAAAAATTCACCGAATATTTCAATGTTACAAAGGACGTGCATGGCATGAACACGAAAATTGAGAAACCAGTCAGTCCACTTGAACTTTAGTTAACTTTATTTGATTCATTGATTCGTTCTATTTTTTGTTTTTTTTTTCTCTCACAATATCTTAAGTCAATCCAGTGGATATATTCTCAATGATTTTGCAATTCGTACAATACGTACAATACGCAGTTTTTCTTTTTTGTGAATACTGTTCCAATTACGTCACAGGTTGGCTCTTATCTTATCTTAGCTCTAGCTCCAACGCAGACATCCTTCCTTCCTCAGAACAGCATGCAATCAATGAGTTCCAATTGTTGTGAACCGCCCCACGTACAGTAGCAATTTGTTGCTTGCTCCTTGCAAATGGCAGATTAACATCATGCGAAAAATGAAACGCAAATAATAAATTTTTCTTAGGAAATTGTACATGTACCGGAATGAGTATAAGAACCGAGCATTGGCGCTAAGAACACATGAAGCATCAAGAATTTGAGATATTTTATCAACTTTTTCAAAGCGTTCTTTCCCCTCCGCTTCTTCTTCTCCTAAATCATCGCATATCCGCACAGGCGCAAGGCAAGGTACGCCAATCGTTTAGCGACCGAACTCAAAAGTTTTTACTGAAATTTTAAAGGAAACTTTGAAAACTATCTCGCGATATAACCACCAAGGATGTCGACGCAATGTCGACGACCAGTAGTCTTGTAGAAACGCTTTTGACCTCAACGGAGCTTCTCGTCGTTATTTATTAAAATCCGTGAAACGTTTCAATTATTTTAATAGTGAATATGTTCACCATCAGCACACATACGTCGACAATCATTGTCGGTAAATCTTAACATTACCTGAAATAGTCCGCGCAAATATGTACAAACAATCCTTCAAAATCCTGCTTAAAAATGAGACGGAAACCTATGCTACTGACAACTATATAAAGTTACAAGTGTTTTTTAGCCAATTCTGCTAAATGGTACGCTGGTAATTAAAGAAAGTCTGCTTGCTATTCGTTCATTTCGTAGAGTCCCCTGATGATATGCTTTAAATTTCGCATGTTAATCTTGTTTAGTCTTTAGTTTACTTTTCAGAGTCAAAGGTGAACCGTGATTTTGTATTAAATTTTTAACTCCATCTCACTGCTCTTTCAAAACGATTTAGAAACTAATGATAAATTATAAAGTAATGCGAAATGCTTCGTTTTCGTTTAGATGTAAATATATTTAAAATTATGTTCGCATATTTGTAGCAACATTTAAAGTGATTAATAATGCTGCCAACAGAACTCTCAAGCTAATAAGATCGATTTAAATTCTCAGCGTTGTATGGTATGTGGTAGAGATTTCATCTTCATTTCCATTAATACTATTTCTCAAGTCTCATTCCTAGTCACCTACCACATGTCTCTCCCTCTATCTATCTATCTATCTATCTACCTCTCCGTTGCTTCTCAGCTTTAATTTATTCCGTGACTCGCTTCCTTTCACTTACATCTTCCAGAGATTTTTATCTATTAATAAAGATTTATAAAAAGAAGTATGCTGTAGTAGTGTTTCTCTGAAAAGTTGTTATTAAGTGCAAACGTGTACTCAAGTAACTTGATTAATTACTTACTATCGATTTTCGTTCTTCTCTACCGGAAGATATTAAAACAACTTTTACTTTTATTGTTGTTACGCTTGTTCTTCTTCTTGTTATTTTTATTATTATTATTATTATTATTATTATTATTATTATTATATTATGTTATGTTATTATGGAAAGGCAAAGGAACTAAAGGAACTTTAGTCAGAATTTTATTAATTATATTGAAGAGTTGTTTTTATCTAATTACGGAAGAAAAACTACATAATAAACATAAAGTGTATACCTTGCCACCACCCCTGCCAAGATAACTGACAAAAAACTTGATTGGCTATGGAAACAGATAAAAAAGAAGATTAATTACCTTTTACAGCTATAGAGCAGATACAAAGAAAGTAGAAAAGTTTGCAGATAAACAATGCACAGAATATTTCAATAAAACAAAAAACAAAAAATAGAAAAATAGAAAAATAGAAAAATTTATTTCCTTTACGTTACAACAAAGTACTCAAAAAAAAAAAAAAAAAAAAAAAAAAAAAGGAAGAAAAAAGAAATTTGAACAAAAGTTTTCCTAAATCAGCATTTCGAAATGTCCCTGCGTTTTATTTATTTTTTTCTTCTTTTTTTGATATACAAAACGAAAGAGAGAGGGAAATAGGTGACAAAGTTGATACAATTTGTTAAATTCTATTGTAAAGCTATTTTTATGTTTAGCATCTTATCTCCTTGCAGTGCTGAGGGTGTGTAGTATTCATTGTATGTCGGAAGTACGTATTTGACTTCCGTTAACATTTTGTCAGTAAAAATAAATTGGCACTTGGCATAAAAGCTAATGATTGTCTCTATGCAAAAAAGGACAGGGAAAGGCAGAGAGAGAGTGAGTGAGAAAAAAAGATTTCATTTCCTTTACACACGTCAGCAACCGTTAACACAATTGCACTCATATATTTACACATAAGCAAGCCCTACATATGCGTCATATGCATACATACATTCATAGATTTTAGTTCTCTTTTATCGTATAATAAAAATGAAGAGCAAAGGAAAATTGTTTGAGGAAGCGGTAGTCAAGGTGGACGCACACATTTTATTTAACAAAATAAATTTAAATAAAAGTTGATTAGACTTCTTCGCTTCTCTTTTTTTTTTTTTTTTTTTTTTTTTTTTTTTATTATTAACTAAAGAGGGTGAGAGAACGTTCACGAATCCTATAAAGTATACGCGTTTTCTTAATTAACCATGAATTTTGAATTTTGAACTGGCAATATTTGTTCGTCCGTATGTGAATTTGTGCGAAAAGCATACTACTATCGGTCTTAAAAATTGAGTTAGCGGAAAATTCTTCCTCGCAGTTTTCTATTGAGAGAGCATCAAATCCAAAGCCAAGTTCGTACATAGTTACACAGTTAAAAGGCATGTGTGTGCATGATACCGGGAATACATTATAACTCGGTATAGGCAAAAAGGAAAAGCAAGCCAATAAACTGGCTCTCTCTCTCTCTCAGCGATCTATAAAGCACAAAAAAAACAAAAAAAAAAAAAACGAGCAAACATCGCTTATTGAACTACGTTACTCAAACTAATAGCTTTTCGCTTAAAGAAGCTAACTGATGAGAGCTGCAATTTTTCCCATGAAGAGTTCAGTGCGCAATAATTGCTTTGTGCGTGCTTAGTAACGCATTAACTATTTAAATAGTTTTGCACGAACTATTGAAAGTGTGAGTGCTTAGAAGCATCGAATACAAGCGTGCGCGGGATTATTTGAATTCAAGCGAACCACTTTATGGATAGTTAGTTGCTTTTTTCATCTACCACTCAGGGAATATCTTTTGGACGTGCGGCCTTGGTAGCCTCGGTCAGAAAGGATTATAGGTGGGGAAAAAGTTAAAGAAGGGATTAGTCTTTGAGTATGTTTGACTTCGAGGCAGCTGACAGATTGTTCCGAATGCATTGAAGGGTTAGTTGAATTAGCCGCTAACCCTGACACGCGGGCACCTTTGCGGTGAGGAACGCTGGAAAACGTACACGCGTGCACTGCTGAGAAAACGTAATAGTTCTCTGAAAAGATCTAATTGATCGACAAAGCTCTGTGAAACACTTGCCGTCTGGATACATCTATCCATAAGTACAACAATATAGCTTTTGGTTTGGTAAGATACTGGAATAGTGTGGCATCATATAATCACTTCAATACGACACTTTGTATGCGACATTAGAAAGGTGAAATGGCAAGTGTAACCTTGATTGACTGATAAGGATTTAGATTATTGGGCGGTACGCGCAAAGTAAGACATACTTTAGACGTAAATTTAGAAAAGCCTAAAACATTATCAAGCAGTATTTCAAGACATCACATAATTCACACTCAAGCGATCGTTCACGAGGCTTTTCGTAGACATAAGACAGAGGTAAGGAGATTTGGTCGTGCTTTGAAAATTATTTGCTCTAGCGGCTAAGCATTACAAAATAACCGAACGCCTATTCCTATGGTGAAGGAGTCACGCCTGCCCAATGCTATAGAGCATGAAATTACGGTGTTTTCGTTTTATTAATTTTTTTTCGCCTTTTTCTAGGATAACGGCGATGCGGATAAATAATTCGTTCGCAACCGAATACTATTCTCTTACACGGCGGGCAAAAGAGGAAAATTGCAAAATAAATGAATTTTCTTATCAAACGTTTAACTTAGTCTCCGAATTATACATAAATGACGTTTACGCCCACCATAACTAGATATGATTCAACCTTCCGTTGATTACTTAACTGTAATAGAAGCGTTTCGAAAGCGCTTGTAGATTCAATTTCAACAGCAACAAACCCGTTCAAGTTTCAGTTTTATTTTAATCGAAATTTTCTGCCTTTTTTCAAACGTTGTACAATAACTGGTGGGTTACTGTTAGTGAAGCTTTCAATAATGTGTATTAAAGTAATGGTTAATATAATATATATGTTTATAGTTAATCTCTTTGAAATGAATGTTTTTTTTTTCTCTATCTTTCTCTCACTCACTCTCTCTCACTCTCTCTCTCTCTCTTCCCATTGATTTTTTGTAAAGTTCAACAAATCTACATCTATTTTATAACGTTAGTCGTTAGTACGGTTTAGACATTCATTGTAATGTAATCCCTATTTCAAGTCTATTAAGCATGCATTCACTTTGAGAACTCATTGACTGCGGGTCGGACATAATAGGAGAAAAAAAACAAAATACTTAATATTAGAAAAATCCTTTTAAATGAAGTGTAAGGTAATCACATCTCTAACACTACATTAGATATTGAAATGTGTTTAGATTTAAT